TCTGGGCAAAGTGCTCGCTTGTGGCCGGGCGGCCTTCTGGGAAATTCTGCCCCTGGCATCCTCCCACCTCCAGGGAATCTCTAATTGGGCTAATGGCAGGGCTGAGGAGCAACTGAGGCGGCCAGCAGGGAAGGGATGGAGGAATCTCCATGAGAAGGCAGCCAGAGCTCCTTCCTGCAGCAAAAGTCAGCCACATAATCACAATGCAGTAATGACAGGTAGAGGCAGGCGGAAATTGCAGTGTGGGTTAACACATGCCTTCATGCTCAGAGGTGAGCTTTCTAATTCCCCCTGCTGGTCGAGCCGCATCACTAAGAACATGTCCATCCGGCTCTTTCTCAGCTAGGATAGCTGAAAAACGACTTGGCCAGTTTCTGTTTTTATTAAAAAGAAAAAGAAATCCTGATTCCGCTATTGAACTCTTAACAGTGACTGATGTTTAGAAATGTAGTCCATGAAAGGTTTTGTGGTATTCAAGGGATGGTTAAAACTTCACCTAACTAATTTAAAGTTGCTTTTAATGGAGCAGGATGAGACCAAGTTACCCCTAAGTAATGAGCATTCCCCTAGAAAGACGGAAGGTCAGTCTTTCTGTTTAGAAAATACAATTTTCTCCTATGGTAACTGGAGAGAGGGAGAGATAGGAAGAAAAAGTATTGCATTTGCTGTTGGAAGGGCTGACAAGAAAGCATTCAATGAAATAAAAGGAACACAAGAGGCTCTATTTTTAAGAGTCACACTCTTAACTCAGTGCTATAATCTCTGCATGTCATTTTTAGTGAAGTGATGGATGAGTTTCTAAATACATGCAGCATTTTTCACTGTAGATTAGATACTGTGTTGGTTTTATTTTTTGGAAAAAAAAACCTGTTTCCTCCATCCTTCAACCCTTTTAGTTTTAGATGTATTTGACAGAGCATTGTGACACTTTGTAAAGGAAACAAGGAGCATCTTTTTCTATTACCAGAAAAAAAAAAGTAGGGCTCGTCCGGGATTTGAACCCGGGACCTCTCGCACCCTAAGCGAGAATCATACCCCTAGACCAACGAGCCGGTCGAAAGAAAGTTCGTTCTGTAGCATTTACATACCAAGCTCTAAAATTCTGTGCCACGTTGACTTGCAGGATAGCAAATGTCCTACGGCACGTGTGACGATGTTAGCGCCACCTAGTGGTACTGAGGGATTCCTGTCTATATCCGGGATAATTCCGTTTCATTTTTTCAATTGTCGCTGGTTTTCAAGGTCATTGAAAAAAAGTATTTCGAATATGTGGCCCAAGATGCCCTTAAATCTCTTTCTGGCCTTATCGTTCTCGTGCAGATACATGCTGATTCTGAGGTGCTTCTCTTGTGTTGGTTTCCCATTTGCTGAAACTTGATCTAAGAAAAATTAGTTATCTATCCATATTCAGTTAAACCTCCATCCAGCTCCATTTGTAATCTTTGCCCTTCTCTGGTGTCAATTTAATAGGTAAGGGGCTGATTTTCTAACAGAGAGCTGCCTTTTCGTTCAGTAAGGTGCCTTTAATAGATGTGTCAACAATCTGAAATCCAACCGGTAAAGTTTACTCTAGTAGACTGATGGACTAGTGAACAAGGAGAGATAAAATAATAAAAAATCTTAAAAACAAAATCAATAATACCATGGCTGATTATTTCAGGAAGCGTCCCTGAAATAAAAGCATTTTCAGGAGGTGCCAAAAACAGCACAATGTTGACCCTTGCCTGGCCTCCGGAGGCAGGAGCTTCCTGAGAAAAGGGGCCACCACAGTGATGTCTCTTCTCTGGGTAGACTCCAGTCGAGCCATACAATGCCATGCAGAAGTATTCACACACACCCTTTGACTTTTCCACATTTTGCTGTGTTACAGCCTGGAACTGAAATGGATTTAATTGGCATTGTTGTCACTTGATGTGCAAAAGTTATCTAATGCTCTGAGGGTGCTATATATGAGGTGTGTCCAGAAAATAATGAGAATGATATTTTAAACATTCTTTTATTGAAAAGTTTTACAATCGAGCATTGTCTCCTTCAAAGTATGCACCTTGTGAGTGTACACAACGCCCCCAGCGATTTTTCCATTCTTCATAGCATCCCTGGAAGGCTTCAAGCGGGATGGCGTTCAGAGCCTGCACAGTGGCTCTTTGGACATTATCCACACTACCAAACTGGGGTCCTTTCAAACCATTCTTCATCTTTGGAAAGATGAAAAAGACACCAGGAGCCAAGTCGGGGCTGTAGGGTGGATGGGGGAGCCCTGTGGTGTGTTTCTCAGCCAAAAGCTCTCTGATGGCCAAAGCAGTGTGACTCGGTGCGTTGTTGTGATGAAGGATCCAAGCTGAGCCGATCTCAACTTGTGCCAGTGCTACACTTGGGCAGATGACCGTGCAGTTTCTCCGTAAGCTTTCCTCACCATTTCCAAAGTTTCTGGTGCACTTTTCCCAATTTCACCAATTCTATCACGTGCCGCTGTTCCAAACTCACTCGCATTATTCTTAATCCAAGGCACTTGAACTGGGTGCCACAAAAGAGAATGTCTCGACTCTGACGGGGCTGGAATGCAACTGATCCGTGTTCTCACGTATTCCTGGCACCCCACCCCAAGTGACCTTGGCCTGCTTGAGCGCTGGGACTTCTTTCTCATTCCTCGAGGGCAGAGAAGTTAGGTAAAACAAAAAGAAATTGGCATCTGTTGGTAGCAGCAACATTCACCCTTAAATCTGATATTTACAAATATTTGTTTGTATCATGTTTTATATTATTATTATTTATTTATGTAAGCTGTCCTGAGGTTCTGCGAAAGGATGGCATATAAATATTCTAAATAAATAAATAAGCTAGCAGTTGGCAGAAGCACCTTTAACAAATAATTACAGCTGTAAGTCTTCTTTCTAATCTGATACCAGCTGTGTGCTTCTGAATCTTGAAAGATTTTTCCACTTTTGCTGGCAAACTACTCCAGCTCTGTCAGGTTGGATGGGGACTGTGGATGAGCAGTGTCTTTCAAACCTTGCCACAGATTCTCAGACAGTTTGAAATTTCTAAGACTTTCAGGCTCTAGTTTTTAAGCCACTCTTGTGATATTTTGGCTGTGCATTTCAGGTCAACCAGGTTGGAGGATGAACTTTCAGCCCAGTCCCAGGTCCTCTAGACTGAAACAGGTATTCCCCCAGAATTGTCCTGTCTTTGGCTCCATCCATCCTGTGCAATTTTCTAGTCCCTGCTGAGGAAGAGCTTCCCCACAACATGATGCTTCTCAGTGGGGACATGCTCCTCACCCTGCTTCTCAGTGGGGACATGTTCTTAGGACAATGAGCACTCTTGTCCCACATGCTTGCTGTGTCTGATTTTGGAGACCGGCCCAGACATACTCAAAAGGAAGATTTAGATTGGGTTCCACAAACCGCTCTGTGCATGCTCAGAGATACATTCTGCAGTGATTGAGTTGACTGGGCATGTTTTGGTGAATAAATAACTTTTTCCAAAGAATGGTCTGTTGCCTTGAATGTGTGAAAAACCCAGAAAAACCAGCTCACAAGAAGTTGCAGTCTATCACACCTGGAAGGTACCCGATTAATGTTACACGAGAGCCAGTGTGGTGTGCTGGTCAGTGTTGGACTGGGGACCTGGGAGATGTGAGTTCTAGTCCCCGCTTGGCCATGGAGCGACTTGGCTGACTTTGGGCCAGTCATAAACTCTCAGCCCAACCTACCTCACAGGGTTGTTGTTGTGAAGATGAAACAGAACAATGTAACCACACTGCCATCCTCACAAGAGGAAAAAAGATCAGGGTATAAATGCATGTCATGACAAGCAATCCTGCTCATTTTCCGTGGTGTAGAGTTTTTTGCCCAGATGTGCATGGTAAATTATTAAGCGGTTTCCATGCGAGTGTGGCTTGTACCTTCTTTGCTCAGGCCTCCTGCTGTTGGCACATATCCCATCAACCACCACACCTGGAATTTGATCCCATGCTGGATGGCTGGAGCAGCCCCTACAGCAGCTGCCACTCTTTGCAGGGAATTTGGTCGAAGCATCGTGGAAACCATGATGCCAGACTTGGACGATCAGAGAAAACACAGCTAAGCATGGGAAACATAGAATCAGAGAATAGCAGAGTTGGAAGGGGCCATGAAGGTCATCAAGCTCAACCCCTGCTGTTGCAGGACACCATGTTACACCACCCCACTCAGATGGCTGTCCAGTTTCTGTTTGAATGTCTCCAGTGTGGGAGAGCCCACCACCTCTCTAGGCAGCTGGTTCCACCGTCATATTGCTCTGACAGTGAGGAAGATTTTCCTGATGTCTGGCCTGAGTCTGGGTTGTTGCAGCTTGTGTTGATTAGTCTGTGCCCTACACTCTGGCACCAGCAAGAAGAGATCTCGGTCTTCCTCTTTGTGACAGCCTTTGAGGTCCTTCTAGAGGGAAATCATGTCCCCCCTCAGTTTTCTCTGAACAAACTGTTGTTTCTATTTTGGTTTCTAAGAAGCAAACTTACCATGCTGAAATACGACGACAGGTTTGGAGACCATCCTGCATGGGAATCTACCATGGCTTGCTGTGTTGTGTGAATCCACCCATTGACTGGCACACCCTGGACCCACTCTGGGGCAGAGTTAGCCAGGGCTCCACAGTTCTTCCAATCCATCTGGCAATCCTTTTACATGAACATCACCCACCAGGACTCACAATTTTACTGAGACAAGCTCAAGCTACAGAGCCCAGTTCCAGCTCTCCCGGGGGCCAGACCCCCAAAGTGTCCTAAACAGCCACAACCCTTCACTCTTCCTTTCCCACCAGCTTTGTGCTTGGCCTTTGTGCATTTCCCCCCATTCTTAAAGGCTAGAATGCCTCTCCTGAAGCTGAATTGTTGGCCATAAAAGCTAACATTGCTGGCATTATTGTAGCCCCTGAGAGTGTCTCTCAACCAAAATGCGGCCCCCAGAATGAAGGGAATCCTGCAGCCCCACAGAACAGAAACAGGCAAAATACCAACCAGGTTCAAAGTGTTCATTCCAACTTTCTTTATTGTTTCTTTATTAAATTGGGGTTCTATTAACTTAATTTAAATAAAAAGTGCAGAATATGGATGCGCCTCTAAAAAAATATAGATATTTAATATATATATTTCTACACCTGCCAAACCCTTCAGAGGCACTGAATAGATATGAGCCACTGACTTTCACTCGCTGACTTTTTCTCTCTACGTCTCTTCCCATTTTTCGGCCTTCGTTACTAAGCCATGGCAAGGCTACCAGCTTCTTGGTCCATGACAGATGAGCTGTAGGGGTAAAAACAGAATGGGAGGCGAGAAAGGGGCACTGCAAGCAAAATTGGGGTGGGGGGGCAAGGACAGCAGGGAAGCCTCTGCACCTACGTGTGTTAACTGGGGGGGGGGGGAGCATTACACACACACCTCTGTGAAATCACACTCCATCAGGCCAGTGTGAGCCTGCAGTCATTCACACCCATGCAGCTGCCCATGGATTCCCAAGCCTTAGGTCCAATTTTTTAAACATCCCTGGTATGTGACAGCTGTCACAAAACCAAGAGTATTTTTCCTTCTGCGCAGGGACAGAGCGGAAGGTTAAGCCCTGTTGACTGCAGCATGGCCCCACAGAGAATCACGGATGGAGCCGAGCTCCGATTGTTCACCTGCTCCTGCTTAAATCCTTCTGCCTCCAGCAGAGTGCTGAGATGCCTGAACACGGAGAGGCAACCCAGATGCCTGCATCAGAAAGATGCAAGTGGATAATGTGTGTGTCATGGCATACTCTGCTCATCTGCTGGTCTCCAAGTTCCAAGATTTGGAATGCAAATAAATGGTCCATTCTAGAAGGACTGAAGATACCTCACTGGCAGGAATCTCTTAGCGAGTCCCACTGCTGCCTACTTTCTGTGGAAATCTAGCTGGAAGGCTTCTGGGTTCGAAAGTCTAGAACACCACCCCTGAATGCTGAGGCAGCAGGAAACAAGACAAGAAAGGCTGGGCCCACAATGGGCCTTCACCTGAAAACATAAGCCTATGTCTCACCAACAGGTAAGGCAAGAACATTGTTTCAGACTGTGTGCAAGGACTCACACCACTAAATCCCCTGCCATATAACCGAACAAAAACATAACCACAAGTAGAAAACCAACTTGTCAAGGTTCTAGTCCAACCTTCTCCCTGATGTGCTATCTTTTTACAAGCAGGGAGATGATTTTAAAGATCTCCAATGGGGCATGCATTCAAACACATATGCTCCCATTCACTGTCTGAAGCAGACCAGTTTTACCATTTGTGTCATTTGCTTATGGCAGAAGAGGAAGAGTTTAAACGTTTACCCATTTTAGAGGTAGGGACAACAGAGTTTGTTTCCCTAAGGTGCTCAATGAATAGATGAAAAACAGGTGGTGGAGGTAAAGAAACTAACAAGTCATCCAAAACAGACAAACAGGGGACAAGATGTAGACCCTCATGAAGGAGACACGGCTATCACTTTGAAGAGCACAGGTCAAAATTTGGGTGTTGGGCAAACAAGCTCCCACTAGAGATCGTACAAAGGACACCCCATACAATGTGGAAACAGGAGCATCCAGGATGGACTAGATGACTGCCAAAACGACTGTCCAACTTCATGGCTTGGGAGATTACAAGCTTTCTAGAACAAGCCAGCAGCTCTGCAGAAAAGAGCCCATTGATGAGAGCACAGCCATTTTGAAAAGGGAAGCAGGTCCTCCAGAATGTGAGAAGCACACTCTGTACATCCTAAACTTTTCAAAGCCAAAGGCCACGGAAAAGTGAGACGCTAGCCGACGGGGAGACACCAATACGCACACATGTGCTTAGCGACGGACAGCGGCTGCAACAGAAGCAGGGAGAGGGGGACAGTCTCGCTGGAGGTCAAGACTGTCGGGCAGAACATCAGGACACGCATCCAGGACTTCCTCTGGCAACGGAGACCCAAGCAGCAGGAGATGAGGAGGAGGAGGAATTGTTGGGGGAACATCTGGGAAAGTCAGCGTGCTTTTCTTCTAGGGAATGCGTGAACGAGCCTCGGCTGCACAGAGACTGTGGGTCCCTCGCACAAGGAGCGGCGTGGCAGAAGTGGTGCGCGCTGGCACTGGCGGCGTGGCTAGGCCAGGTTGTTGTTGCGCTCAATGCGCTGCACCATCAGGGAGACCAATTTTTCCAGCATGCGGGCGCTCTGGCGGCTGGCCTCCAGCACCTCGGCATGGTTGGCCTTCTCCTTGCTCTCGTAGTCCAGGACGGCCTTGTTCGTAATGAGGGAGAACCCGAAGACGCGCATGCCGCAGTGGCGGGCCACAATCACCTCTGGCACCGTGCTCATGCCTGGTGTGGGAGAGACGGGAAGAGTTAGTGGGGCATGTGCAAAAGCCTTATCCAGTCAGCTCCGAACTTCTCCCAGCCCGAGGGGAGAGTTTCGTTTCAGAGGGGTGGGTGAGGCCAAAGGCAAATTGGGGCAGGTGGGTGAGGCCAAAGGCAAGTTGGGGCAGGGCTGGAATACTATACATACCTAAACATTTTAGCTTAAAGCTCTTCGGGGAATTGTTTCAACTTTTTAGAATAGGGTTGGTTGAAGAATGGAAAAGCCAGCAAGCTGCTGAAAACTGCCATTGGAGGGGATGGGAACATGTTCGTTCGATGGCTGGATCTGGCCCACAGGCATGAATGTCCAAACCCTGAAGCGGTAGGGCTCCTCTAGGACCTTACCACTTCAGGTCGAGAGGGAGGGGTTGCACAACTGGATTTGCCCCAAAACTCTCCCCTCCCCACAAAAAAGAAAACTTGTGGTACGGCTAGCAACCTTCTTCCTCATCAACTGGCCATCCTAAGACAAGAAGTTTTTAAGTGATAGAAGTGTTCAAGTCTTGCTATCTCTCCCCCGCCCTTGCATTTTGCCAGCCCACCGTGTCTTCTCTTGGAGGATTTATCCACATCACTTCCTGCAGCTCCAGGGCCCTACCTGTTGTACAGGTATGTCTGGATATGCAGCAAAAACTAACTGGGAGCAAAGTTTCGGAAGCCTGGTTGCTGGCTGACTCTTCCACTGGCATGGAAGAGTGTCCTAAACTGGGCTGGAGGGACTGCAAAGGACACATGGATATAGTCCAACAGCCCTTCTCCACAAAGCCTTCTCCTCCGGGCGGGCACAGAAGGGAAGCAGGAAGAGAGAAAGGCTCTGACTGGCTACCAGAAGGAGTGGTTGGCTACCAGGCCCAGTCAAGATTCCTGCACTTTCCCCCCTCTTGTTGACCCAGCCTTCCAGAGCACTGTCAGGTACTTTCTAATGCAGGACTCATGGTCTCAATCTCAGCCATTGTTTTGGGTTTCTCTTTTCACGGAATGGTTTTTCTTCCACACAGACCAGCCTTTCTACAAAGTGCCGCTGTTCCCCTTTCTGTTTCAGTCGAGGCTGGAGCCTAAATATGTTTGCACTGAAACTGGCAGAAAAATTCATCCACTGAGTTCGTCCCGCTCAGTTGACGTGAGGGTGGCCATTTTGAACTGCAGAAGGGAAGCGCTCCAGTGCTTAAGAAGCACTTTCTCAATGGCTGAACTTTTGAAAAAACATTGAGGCTACAGAATAGCTGAGATGTAGGACACACACACGATACGGATACCACAACATAAAAAGACCGCCCCCTATATTTCATATTGTAACCTTGCAGCGTGGCTGAACAGCTAGGAGACCAAACCACTACCTAGGGATGGCATGGGGCTACAATTAAAGAACTCTTTCCCCTCCTCAATCCCTTAATTCAGCCCCCGACGGACCTACAGCATCCGCTCCCAGTCGCTGGAGAAAGCGGCATTCGGCAATGGTCTCGTAATTCGGGCCTCCCAAGGCACAGTAGACGCCCTCGCGCACAGTCTTGGAGCAGCCCATCTCAGAGGCCACCGTGTGCGCGAGCTTCCTCAGGTCCTGGTTGTAGGCATCCGACATGGCCGGGAAGCGGACCCCAAATCTGTGAAGCGAGAACGGGCGAGGGAACGGAGGCAGAAAGGGCACATGGTTGGATGAGGACAAGGCCTCAGGGTCTGATATGAAGGCCCGGTCTCTAAGCGTTGCTATGGGGGTAAAAGAGGGGAAAGGGAGTGTTGCAGAAAGAAAGGGGTGACAGAATGAACGAGGGGGATGGCAGTAAGACAAGCGAGAGAGGAGTGACAGAAGGAGAGGAAAGGAAGACGGAAGGGAGGACGGAAGGAAGGGGTGGCAAAGAGAGGAAGAGGGAGAGCGGGTGGTGCAGAAAGAGAAAGAGGGAGATTGAGAGAAGGAAGTGGCTGAGAGAGGAAGAGAAGGCATTGGCAGGAAGGGAGAGAAAATGGGTGCCCACCCAATTTGGGACGGGGCCTGCCCTCTGCTGCCTTGCTTCCACCCCGCTGCCCCCCGGAAGAGCCCTTCTCCGCGTGTCCAAAAGCACGGGGAGACCTCCTTACCTATCGTCATTGGGCCCCACCAGGGGGTTCTGGCCAGCAAAGCCGGGCATGTTGATGTGGTCCTGGATCACCATGATGTCCCCCACTTCGTACTCGGGGTTCAGGCCCCCGGCTGCATTGGTGACTATGAGGGTCTCCACACCGAGGAGGTGGAAGATCCGGACGGGGAAGGTCACCTGGGAAGGGAGGCAGAACCAGGATTGAAGAGAGGGCGTGAGCTTTGTGCGTGCAAAGTCAGAGTGGGCCGAGAGATGCCAGCTGTGGGTTTTCTCCCAAACGCAGCCCTATGTCCGCCCACAGCTGCAGGGCAAATTCTTGCAAATTTCTTTGTGATGATATCAAACACCTGAACCCCCCGAGGTGCTTCCTAATGAACACAGAGGGGGGCCTTGCTGGGTTCCCCAGAGCATCTCCTTCCAAAGCCCCATGACAGCCCTTCTCCAGCTCAAGGTGCTCAGTCTGCCACACCAAAAAGCGTGGCATACTTTATCCTCTCCTGTCATCTTCACACCAGCCCTGTGAGGTAGGTTAGGCTGGGAGGCCAAGGCTGGCTCACAGTCCCTCAGGAAGCTGCCTAAGGGAGTGCACGTTTGGACTCCCGTGTCCTAGTTACTCTAACCACTACACTACACTCCGCAGGCCCTCGAATTCTACAGGAGAGGAGATGGATGATGCTCAGGCTGGGTGTATCCTGTGCCCTCAGACATGCAAGCCTTCCCTCAGCCCAGCCCCAGAGGCAGGCACCCAGTGGTGATGAAACAGAACTTTGCATACGCTCAGAGGCACTGTCCTCTTCTTTACTGCTGTTAATTATTTACCTTCCAGAGCGGGTAACCTTCATACATGTGGAAGCGCCCTTGCATCACCACGCATGGCGTCCCGCTGAGGTTCCCAAACACCAGTCTCCCAGCATGGCCTACAACTGGATTGAAACAAGAAAAGGGTTAAATCACTCGCTGGTGCCCCCCAGTGGCCGCAATGAAGTACTACAGAAGCATCTTCTCCCCACACAGCTCCCCAGCAAGCACCACACCTGTCCTTGGCCCTCACTTTTTACCTGTGCTCTGGGGGAAGTTGGGAATCCTGCCATATTCAAACGCGACTTGGTCCTTGAGGAGGTCAGCCAGCCCGCCAAGGCCTGAGCCACAGATGATGGCCACCCTGGGCCGGTGCTTGGTGTTGGAGAGTAGCCAGTCCGCTGTCCGCTTGCAGTCCTCATATGTGTACCTGTGAGAAGAAGAAACGTGTGGGTGGGTGACAGAGAGCGATTCTAGGAGAAAATGCAACCGTTGCAGGACTGACCTTTTGCCACTAGAGGGCAGTGAGCACACACTCATAAGTACATACAAGCACAGAGATACACAAACAGAAAGGATTTTGTACTGTCATAGATTCATGGGGCTTTGAAAACATGACTAACGCTCCAGAATAAAGCAAAAGTATTTATAATATGCCTCAACTGTTTGTTTATTTATTTTTAAAAGCTTTTCTATCCTGTCCCTTACAAATGTCTTGGGATGGCTTAAAATAAATGCCAGTTCCACACATTATACCCGTAGACCTTCCAACAGCCCTGTAAGGTAGAGTCCTATTATTCCCCCTCCTATATTAGCAGTTATGGGATCCACAGAAACAGTGGTGCATCTTATTTACTGATTTACCAGGTTTGCATCCCATCATGACAAAGTAGGCAGCCCTTGTTAAGCACAAAACAAGCAAGCATGTAAAACAGCCCTGCAGAGTAGGCAAGGCTACCGAAATCCATCAGCCATGAATGTGGGGTGAGCATAGATCCCCCATTAATCATCAACATATTCAGTTCCCCTTTTATGCAAAGATTTGCTTCTTCAGAATATGGATCCACTGAACTTACACACACCAGTCGAGCTACAAGATTTTGAAACACTCCTCATCCAGCCGTGCTATTCTTTCTCTATTAATCCTACTCATATCCCATCCAACTTATGCAGAAACTCCTCCTCTCCCATTTATCCTCACAACAATCCTGTGAGGTAAATTAGGCGAAGGAAGGGATTGGCCCAAAGTCCTCAGAGCCAAGAAGGGGCTGGAACTGAGATTCCCTGAGTTCCAGTCCAACACTATAACCACTAGGCCAGAGTAACTTCCTGCAACTGGTGTTGCAGCAACTGGTGTTCCTGCAACTGGTGTTTTCCCCTTCTTTGGACTATTTCAATATGCAAAGCAGTTCTTTGGAAGCTAAAAATTTCCACTTGGTGAACAGGTTAAGCAGCAACCACCTTTGCGGTTTTCCATCAAGGAAATCACTCTGTGGACAATCACCATGACATGACTCAGAGTCTTTGCTTCTGCTCCTCCCTGCCACTGACGTCTGTGGGATGAAAATCCAGGCAAGACGCCAGATCTCATGAGAGCTAGGGTAGTGCTGATTTGATGTAAGAAGCAACCCAGTGCTCCCCGCGAGGTTTTGGACTCCATTCCTCAGCATTCGTGACCATTGGTCATGCTGGTTGGGGCTGAAGGGATTTGTAGTCCCACACAGATAGCCGCCGGATGGATCACCTCTTGGTTAGAATGTCAGAACAGGGCTGGGGTAGATCCAAGAACAGAGCCACCTGCTCAGCTGTGAAGTTCACCAGGTGATCCTGTCGTTCCTTGCTGGCCTAACCTACACTGCAGGGCTGTTGTGTGGGTGCGATGGGAACAGAGAATGATGCAGCAGAGCCTTATTGCTCCACCGGTCATGGAGTGGGTTTGCCATCTGAGCTTCAGCCTGAACTGTCCATGGTGCTGAATCTATTGGGGGTCAGCGTGCGTGAGACTATGAATGGGGGGCCCTGCCAAATCCCCCCCCCCGACAACACAGCTCAGCTCTTGCTTGTGGCTTCATTATGGAATCGCTCCATCCCAGAGTTGGTCTTCCTCCTTTCCGCCTTCGACTTTCCCTACCATGAGTTTCTTCTCCAGAGAGTCTTGCCTTCTCATGCTGAACTTGAAGTACAACAGCTTCAGTTTCATCATTTTTGCTTGCAGGTAATTCTACGTTTGATCTACGTAGGACTCACTTGTTCATCTTTCGGGCCATCCAGGGTATTTGCAAAGCACCTCCTCCAGCACCGTATTTCAAATGCATCAGTTTTCTTCCCGGCAGCTTTCTTCGCTGCCCAGCTTTCCTACCCATGCCCAATGGTCCGGGATATTTTAGTGTGCATAATCTTGGCCTCGGACTCTGATGAAACATCCTTACACTTGATTATCTTTTCTAGTTCTTTCACTGCTGCCCTTCCAAGTGTTGATCTTCAAATTTCGTGGCTGAAGTCTCTGCTTGAACTGATTTTTGGCCCAGGATATGCAAAATCTTTCACAATTTCAATATCTTCCTTGTTGACATTAAAGTTGCGAGAGTCTTCTGTAGTCCTGATTTTTGCTTTCTTCATGTTCAGCTGTACTCCTGCTTTGGCACATTCTGTTTCATCAGGAGTCATTTCAGTTCATTGTTGCTTTCTGCCAAAATATATTGTCACCTGAACATCTTAAATTACTGATGTACCGTCCACCAATTTTCACTTCTGCTTCCTCGGAGAAGTAAAACTACAAACCCAGCTTTCTCTGTGATATGACAAGTGTCCAGAAAGTAATGACAATATTTTAAACATTTTCATTGAAAAGTTTTACAGTCAAACATTGTCTCCTTCAAAGTATGCACCTTGTGAGTGTACACAACGCCCCCAGCGATTTTTCCATTCTTCATAGCATCCCTGGAAGGCTTCAAGTGGGATGGCGTTCAGAGCCTGCACAGTGGCTCTTTGGACATTATCCACACTACCAAACTGGGGTCCTTTCAAACCATTCTTCATCTTTGGAAAGATGAAAAAGACACCAGGAGCCAAGTCGGGGCTGTAGGGTGGATGGGGGAGCCCCGTGGTGTGTTTCTCAGCCAAAAGCTCTCTGATGGGCAAAGCACTGTGACTCGGTGTGTTGTTGTGATGAAGGATCCAAGCTGAGCCGATCTCAACTTGTGCCAGTGCTACACTTGGGCAGATGACAGCGCAGCTTCTCCGTAAGCTTTCCTCACCATTTCCAAAGTTTCTGGTGCACTTTTCCCAATTTCACCCATTCTATCACGTGCCGCTGTTCCAAACTCGCTCGCATTATTCTTAATCCAAGGCACTTGAACTGGGTGCCACAAAAGAGAATGTCTCGACTGACGGGGCTGGAATGCAACTGATCCGTGTTCTCACGTATTCCTGGCACCCCACCCCAAGTGACCTTGGCCAGCTTCTCCCTTCACAGTCCCAAGTGTAGGGACTTCATTCTCATTACTTTCTGGACACACCTCGTATATTCTGCATACAGATTGGACAGAAAGGGAGATAAATATACACACTTTTCAGATGTCTTCGCTTGCAGGAAAGCATTTTGTTTTTCCAAATTCTGTCCTAACAGTAGCTTCTTGTCCACTATACAGGTTAGTCCTCGAGATGGTCAAGTGCTGGAGCACCCATGTATTTCAGGACCCACCTTAGCTCAAAAATGGAAGAGTTCCCTCAAGGGAAGACAGAAATAAACTGGAAATGTTGCTACTTCTGAGGAAAAACACAATTCCTGTAGCAGGAACTTACTCAAACACTTGCTCGGGGTCAGCTGTTATGCCAAATCTCCACACCAGATTACACAAAATATGTTTGTGCCACATGCATAACAGTTGACTTCACTGAAGCATGAAGAAGCGGAAGAAAGAAAATTAAATTCCCAGTAAGTGAAAAAGTCTTCCCAGAAAATAAGGTTTCCCCATCTTGACCATACAGAAAAAGTCAAGAGACAGGAAAGAACTCAAAATTGAGTTTATTTTAAGCCAGCACTGAGCAATATATGGTTTTCAAGCTGTGTTGATGGGGACCATAGATTTCCATAGGAGCCTTGGGGATTCTCCAATGAAATAAAAACATAAGAACAACCGTGCTGGATCAGACCCAAGGTCCATCCAGTCCAGCACTCCTTTCACACGATGGCAAACCACAGGATCCCTTGAGCAGGATGAGTGCAAGCACAACTTCCTTCCGCCCGGCTGCTCAGCAGCTCTGGACACGGGCAAAATGCTGCATCTGATAACAAAGCCAGAGAGGCCAAGAGCGTCTTCCAAATCTGGGCTGCAAATTCCTTGCAGGAGTTGCATATGCAAAACCCTCCACGTACAATGACAGGAAATCACAGTCATAACAATAACATGTTCAGGGAGGGCGAGACACTGCAGGAAATTCAGCATCTTGGCTTTGGGCTCCAAGCCAGACTCCAGGGAGTATTAAGTGCATTACATGCAAAGGAGTATGCCAGAAAGTTGACTGGGGACAGGGACTTCCAGCAGATGGCCAAATGATTTACGGTAGATGGGCAAGGGTTTCTCTGACTCTCCCTCACTCAAAAGCAGCTGCAGAAAAACCCCTGGGACTCCCCTAAACTAGGCTGCTGAAATTAACAAATATTGAGGCTGGCGGGAGGGGCAGATGGGTGTATGAGCTCCAGTTCTGGTACTGAAAACAATTCAGACCACCTTTAGCCTCTTCTCTCAGCTGCTAACTGTTTGGTGCAGTTTTCCCCCCTGTTCTAAATGGCCTTAAGCTAAAATACTCTGCTTTTTTGTATTTCGGCCCCATTCTATTTCATTTATGGCCATGCCCACCATCAAAACAGTCCTGAGGGCTTCTCTCAAAAGGAATTCAGTCCTGGGACTTAAAGAGGTTCGGCACCCTGACCCAGAATGTCCCTTGTGTTCCCAGAACCCTTTACGATGTGGAAGGACTTCCTTGTGATTAGCACACAGCAGAGAAAATAACACGGAGGGAGGTAAAAGAGCCAGGAGAACTCTCACGCCTGGTTTGGACCAGGCAGAAAATGGGGCAATCATGCTATAGGCAGGGGGTCGGACACTCCTGGTTCCTTTCTCCCTTCTGTCCAAGCTCTTCAAATATACAAGGAACCAGCAATCTTGGCAACGTTAACCCAGCGCCAAGGAGAGACAGATAACCAGAGCTGGCACCTTCATCCCAGCAGTGGTCACGGTTGGGAGGCAAGTAAATAGAAATGGAAAAGGCCCCTCCAGAATCTGGCTGGGAAATAGGAAGGCTTTTCAGAGGCACATGAAAATTAGCGTGTCTCAAGCGGTGCCTGCTGACGTCACCCTCTAATCTGTTGCTTAAACCTATTAAAACGCCATCTTGGAAGCAGGGGCATCTTTGCGGCCACCTGAA